AACACCACATAACATGAAATAAGCGTCTTATCATATATGGTATTTAGAATATTTTAATTAATTTTATGTAAAATCAATGTTTTAATTAATCTTAATATAGTAATTAATTTATAAAATATTCGTACTGTTTAATAAATTTTTTTATTTATTTTTATTAAAATCTAAATACTTAATTATCAACAAAATTTTGATAGAATAATATATATATATATATATATAATTTTTCATGAAAGTCAATTATTATCAACGATAAAATTTTTTTCTCTTCATTACTAATTATCCATCAATTTATTCTCCGAAAAAGAAAAATTTATCATTTAATTATTAATATATATACAAATTAAACAAAGACAAAAAAAAAAAAAAAAATTTATGAAAGTTAATATTATCATTTCTTTTATTTGTTTATGTTCTCGGTTTTTTAATATTATTATTATATTTTTTGGAAAAACAATTATGACAAATATATATTAATTTTTGAAACTTTTCTTTTTTTTTTTGTGTGTTAAAATGTGAAAAAAAATATAATAAAAATCTTTATTTGAAATATAAGTTAACATTCTTAAATCTAATGAAAAAAAAATTTTATAAAAGAATACTTAAAAAATATAAATATATTAAAACATCATAAATATTTAAATATTGCAAAAAATATAATATTAACATAGATATTATTTATTTAAATGATATATAATATTAATATATATATGATGAATCTATTCAAAATCATAATAATTTAATAGAAGTTACTAATCTAATCCTCATCTTAATTTCTACACCTATTCCAAAAATAAATTAATATATCAAAAAAATGTCCGATTATATGAAAAACTAAGTTTTATATATTTTATTTTTGCCAAATTTTGCATTAAAAATAAATTTTTTTTTTTTTTTAATTGAATCTTTAAAATACTTTAAATAAAATTTTATTATTCATCAATATTTCAAGTTTTTCAAAGAAATAATAATGTACACTAAAACTTGTTGATTTATAAATTTTATTAAAAAAAAAACATTTAAAATAAAAAATCTTCAAATAGATAAAACACATAATTTCTTTAAACATGCATTTTTAATATAAAATATTTTTAAAGGTACAAAAATACAAATACTTATCAAGTATATTTCTTCAAAATAAAAAATTTATAAGGAGTAAATTGTTTCAGGATTGTATTGTGCACACATTTTTTTTTTTTTTTTTGCACTTAATAGCTGAATAGATAATTATATTAAATGCATCAATTTATGTTATATTAAACTTTTATATAAAAATATTGAATTATAAATTAACATGTAATAAATAAAAGCTCATTATTTATGTTACAAATTAAATGTATGAGAAAATGATATTGATGCTTGTTTTACAAGAGGCATTTAAGTACATTATTATTTCCTTAAAAAAAAATTTAAATACTTTATATGTATGAAATTTAAAATATAATAATTACACCTTTATAATTGCCATTGATAGGAGCATCATGTAACGTTTCATAATTTCATCGCAAGAAACTATAAAAGAATTTAATAAATTTTATTCTCTTTCCATATTTTACATAATTTATATCTCTTTTTAATATTATTTCTATATCTCTGCTGTTAATTTGTTATAAAATTTTTTTTCTCACTTTTATCAGACATTTAGCCAAAATAATTTATATTTTAAGTAAAATAAAAAATATATTTCATTATCTTATAAAAATACAGCATAAAAAAGCATTTTCATTTAAAAAAAAATTAAAAATCAAAAGTAGCTATTGGAAAAAAAAATTTTATTCTTTTTTGTATTAAAATCAAAAAACAGTTAGAGAATACATTTTTTAGAGCGTTTTTTCATTATATTTGTATTATACTTAAAATGCATAATAGAATTTCATTACATCTTCTATGAATTTAAATCTAATTTTATTCTAAGATTAACTGTTAAGGATATTTATATGTATGTATATACAGTAAATAAAAAATAAATACATAAATAATAAAAAAAATATATCAGAAAAAGAGTGAAGTACATATTAATTTAAAAAAAAAAAAAAAATTCCATTAACAATTAAATGTTATATTTTTTTTTTCCTTCTTTTTTAGCTTTTAAAATGTATTTATGTACCTTTACATATATAAATTGTGCATTTTTACATTTAAGAAGTATAGAATAGTTTTAAGTATGATTAATCATTTAAAGAATTACAAAAAGAAACTTTTCTTATAACTAAAAATATTTTTTATACTAAAAATTATAATATATTTTCATAACTTATAGTAATAATAGCGAAAAATTAATACCAAAAACCTGAAAAATCAATATCCGTAAATATAAAGTAAAAATATAAATTTTTTTCTTTATTTTTACTATTTTTATTATAAAAATAAATTACAAATAAATGTGCTTATAAATTTAATATTTTCAACAATTAACAATGCAAATCTAAACAATTAAATATTAAAAAAAAATAAAATATTATTAATTTAAATTTTTACTGGACATTGAATTTTTTTTAGTTTCAATAACTTTTCTTTAATTCGTTCTTAAAAAATTAATCAAATACAATATTGGTTTTTAAATGAACATTTTCTTTATGTATTTAATACTATATTTATTATTGATGTCATATTTTTTATTTTTTTTTTTTATCAACTTCGCATGTATTATTTTTATTTGTATACTTAGGTATGGTTTTAAATATTACTTTCCTCGTTTTTTTATAATATAATTTTCATTTCATACATTTTAACTTTTTATTCAATATTATTTTAAAAGAATCTTCACCTATTGTATATTGTATTATGCACTTATAATTCTCATTATTTTCATACTGTATACTTTAATAAATAAAAAGCATGTTTACACCTTTTTCTCCCGTTAATTTTAATTTGTTTTATAAAAAAAAGTCAATTTTTTTTATTTTATTTTTCATAAGTATTATATATATTAAGTGTACATTTCACTTTTTCAAGATAATTTTTTTAAACACCTTAACTTCCAATAAATGCAAACTATACTAAATTTAACATGTAGTTTCGTGAATTTTTCTCATTTTAAATTGTTTTAAATTTATATTGCATGACTAACGTTTTATATATAATAAAACAATTCAATTCATTTTTTTTTTTTAACATTTTCAGTATTTTAAAAAACATTATTACTGTTTTTTATTTTATTTTTTTTTTTTAAATATAATTAATATCTATGAAATTTTTATTTTTATTTTTTTTTTTTTTTTTTTTTTTTGCACTTTTAATACTTTAAAATAATAAAAAAATATATTTTTACAATTGTATTATGTAATATTATACTTGTATTTCCTACTTAAATGATTATTTATATTTTTATTTTATTTTTTTTTTTTTTTCGTAAATAAGAAATATACCATTATTTATTTTTGTGTATATTATATAAATCTACTTCATGGTAATTTTAAAATTTTATTGATTTAAAATATGCAAAAACATCAAGGCAAAATGTAAAATCCATTTGCTTCATATATAGTACTGTGATAATTTTCTTTTTATTTCAAAAGTTCCTTAATTTTATAAAATACGTTTTAATTCATATATTTTTTAAGCATCTTTTTTATCGAATTAACATAAATCAACATTTTTCTTTATTAAATTTTCTTTATGAGTTTCCCACCTTATTTTATTCAGTTATTTTTATTACTACAAATGTTTCTATTGAATTTTTAATTGTTTCATTTCTTTACGTAATTTTCATATTTCATATAGAGAAATATATGAAATGAAACTTTATTATTAAGACATGTAGAACAAATTTCTCATAATAACATTAAACAAAGTACTTTTATTTATGAAAATAAGACATTTGATATACAGAAAAATATTCTTTAAAGAAATGAATGAACATATTTTCAAATAAAAATATCACTGATGTATTTTAATCTTTTTTATTTTCGTTTCTTCCTTATTTTATTGCTATTTTCCTCTTTTCCTTATATAACAATAAACATAAAATGTTTATTCATCTATTTTTCAATAATGCATATGTATATTTATTAAAGTTGATGATATGAAAGAGGGGTTAATTCAACGAAAAAACATAAAATCACAAATAATTTAATTGAATTTAATCCATTTTAGTATATGGAAAAAAAATTAAAAAAAAAAATTAATGCATAAGTATTTTTACATTGTAAATAATTTAACAATTATACAAATAAACAAAAAATATACAAAAAATAATATTTTACAATATATGTATGTATCTATATATGTATATATGTATATATATATATATATATTTTTAATATTTAGGAAAATAAGTGAAATTAGAATGTATATCATTCTTAAAACATCTTTCCTTTAAAAAAGAAAAAAAAAACATAAAAATATATATCACTTTCTTATTTTAAACATAAATGGAAAAAATAAAATAAATACGCGCACAAGTTTTTATGTGCAAATTAAAAAAAAAAATATGTAACGAGAAAAAAGCTAAATATAATATTATTTATTATAGTAATGTAAAAAAAAAAAAAAAAAAAAAAAAAAAAATACACTATATTTTTCCTAATTTTTTTCTCTTTTCCATTAGAATTTTAAATTTTAATATTCATTCCTTATTATTTCTCAACTATATATATATATAATTTTTAAAAATAAAAATAAAACAATATTTATATACTATAGAACACAAATACTTATACATAAATTATATATATTTTAAAAAGAAAAAAAAAAAATACATAAACATACAAAAATATGATTATGCAAACAAATTTTCATAAAATAATATTATGTGATATAATACTTATAACTGTAATCTAACTGAATATATATATATATATAAATTGTTTATTATTAGAAAGTAGACAAATTTATATATGGAATTCTCTATTAATGATATATAATATATGATAATAATTGTGTTTTGTGTATTGAAATATATATGTTATATTAATATAGATATTAATGAAAATTAAAAAATATTTTTAAATTAGTAATGTCTTTATTTTACACTTTTTTTTAATTATATTTTATATTTTTGTTTAATCATTTGCTTCAATAGAAGATATATAATTCTTCTTTTCATAAATATCATTAAAACTTTTTGTGTTTGTCCAGTTATAACTACAATGATTCAATTTTTGGTCATAGTTTTCATTTATCCCTGATGTAATAATTTGTTTACATTTAAAAAGTTCTTCTCTTAATATTTTTATTTGAAGCATTAAATTTTTAATTTCATTTTTATAATGTTTACATTGTAAGCAATTATAACCAAAAAAATTATAATTTCCAAATATATTAAAATTATTTGAACTATTAAACAATTCACATACATTAGTCATACTTTTCTCTATATTATTAAAAGTATTGCTATCTTCTCTACTAAGCTTATTATTGTGTTCATTTGCATCATCAAAATTTTCATTTATACTATTACATGATAAAAATATATTCAAAAGATTATTTGTATAATCATAACATGATTCATTTAACTCATTTTCACTTACATTCAATTCTTTTGATTTATTAAAAATAAAATTATTTTTCATAGAATTAAATAATTCGTCTTTTGGAATAGTATTAATACCTGTATCATTTGAGATATCATCTGTTTTAAAATTGTCACCTAAACTATTAGGTATTGATACGTTATCATCATTTATATCCTTTTTTGTTATACTTAAATTTTTTGATTCTTTTAGTAAATACTTGGGATTATTTTTTTTATTATACGTACTATTTTTATTTTTGCAGTTTTCAAATTCCTCTGATTTATTATCTATATTTTTATAATCTATAATATTCTCATTTTTCATATTGTAAAAAATCTTATCATTTTCTTCTACAACTATTTTATTGGAACAATTGTTTATGTTTAATTCATTATTACTTACATTATCAATACCATTTAAATTATTGACTGTATTATTATCAATAATATTTTTTTTATTATCTTTATCATTACTATTATTATCACTATTATTATTATTATTATTATTATTATTAGTAGTAGTAGTAGTAGTAGTAGTAGTAGTAGTAGTATTAGTATTATTATTATTATTATTATTATTATTATTAGTAGTAGTAGTAGTAGTAGTAGTAGTAGTATTATTAGTATTATTAGTATTATTATTATTACTCTTATTGTTTTTACTACTTATATTATTAATTATAATGCTATCATTAGTATTTTTTTTATTATCTTTATCATTATTATTAATAATATTAATCTTATCTTTATAACTTGAATTATTAGTTGTAACATTATCAATATTTTTTTTATTATCTTTATCATTATTATTGGTACTATTTTTATTGTCTTTATTGCCTTCATTATTAAATGCTATGTTATCATTATTATTTTTTTTATCTTCTTTATCATTATTATTATTTTTATCAATATCATAATTTATATCATCTTTAATGTTATTTTTTTTAATATATATATTGTTATTATTCTGAGTGTTGTTACAATCATTATAATTTTTAATATCTACACTAATATCATTATATTTTTTATTTATTTGCGGATATGAAACATTATTTTTGTTATTATATAAGTTTTCATTATTATTATTTTCGTTATTTTTTTTATAATTTATTGAGCTATTACTGTTAGTAACTGAAAGATCATTTTTATTATTATTATTAGTATTCTCAACAATTCGACCACCAGATTTGTTTATATTTTTACTATTATTGCTATTGTTTATTAAAGAATTATTTTTTTTTATATTTTGATTCTCATGATTTTTATTTTTATTATTTTTATTTTTCTCTTTTTCCAAATAACTACCGTCAATATTACTACTAGCATCCTCATTTTTTTCCATTTCATTAACATTTTTACTACTTTCTTTTTTTATTTCATCTAAATTTTTTTCAGTAATATTATTTTTATTTATTCTATTATCTTTTTTGTTATTCTTCTTCTTATCATTATTTTCATTTTTTATATCATTTCCATTTGAATTAACAATTTCATTAAAATTTGTCATTTTTGCATTATTATTATTGTTATTGTTGTTGTTATTATTGTTGTTATTATTGTTGTTGTTGTTATTATTATTATTAGTATTATTAGTATTATTATTATTACTACTATTATTATTATTACTATTATTATTATTATTAGTAGTAGTAGTAGTAGTAGTAGTATTATTATTACTATTATTATTATTATTACTATTATTATTAATATTATTAATATTATTATTACTATTATTATTATTACTATTATTGCTATTATTAATAGTATTATTATTATTACTATTATTGCTATTATTAATAGTATTATTGTTGCTATTTCCACTATTTAAAGCATTTTTTTTATTTTTATTTTTTTTTGAACTTTTATTTGCTGATTTAGAACTATTTCCAGTCGATAAATTATTATTTGTATTCATTACATCTTGTTTTTCTTCTTTTACCTCTTCCTTACTCTCATTATCTAAAAATCTAATCCCATCACTTGGAATTGATGTAATCAATTTGTTAAATTTTAAATTTTTTGTATTTTCTACATTATCATTCGAAGTAAAGAAATCATTTACATTATTTTTATTGAATTCATCAAAGCTTAAATGATCAAATGTATTACAATTAGAAAGATTTGTTATGTTGTTTAACTTATTATCATTAACATCAAAAAGTGTAGACATATTTGTGTAATTCTCAAATAAGGATGTATTATTTGAATTGTTGGAAAAATATTTAGAAGTCATCAAATCATAATTATTGTTAGAATTGTTTATATCCGCTATAAAACCATCCTTCAAATTAGCTGGTAATGTATTAGATTTTTTTAATTTGTTATCATTTAATTCTTCTGATATATTTGGTAAATATTCACATGTTTTATAATTCATATCTTCAAAAATGTTAATTCCTTGACTACTGCTAATATTTAATGAATTTTTTCTTTCATTTTCTAATATTTTAGAACTATGTGAAAAAAAGGAGTTCGTAGATTGAAAATTAAAATTTTCTGAACTATCTTTCCAACTATTTTTATTTTTATTATTTTCATAATCAGTAAAACAAAATTCAACAACTTTATATGCGTTATTATCTAATATATCAAAATTTAATCCACAATCTGTAGCATTGCTATTATAACTAAGTGTCTCATCATAATATACACTATTTTTATTTAAAAAACTTGCATTTATGTTAGAAGATTTATCAAAATTAAGATTGCTCATTTCATTCAACTCATTAATCCAACAAGAATTATTTTTATTTTTATTATCTTCACCATTTTTTATATTTTTTTTATTATTTAATGATTTATTCCATGTATTATTAAAAAGAGAAGTAGAACTCGGATTTAATGATGAACTTAAAGAGTTACATAAAATACTACTTAAGTTGTTAATTTTATTGTTATTATTATTATTATTATTATTGTTATTTGTGTTACTTAGATTTGGCCAAGTTGAATGAAACGAAACATTTTTATTTAAAGATATGTTGCTTTTATTTGAACTATAATTAAAATGTGGCATACGAATTTTTAAAATACTTTCTACTTTTCTTCTTATTTCTTTATCATTCTTATTATGTTGTGTTAAAATATTATCAATATTGTTTCTCCATTTATCCCACTTTTTTTCCCATATTGTCCAATTTAAATGAGCTTCATTTTTATCATTAGAATCATGATAAAATGCACATTTTTGAAAATAATCACAAGCTCCATCTTTAGCCATCTGACAAGCCTGAGTTTTATATACTATTGGATGAAATATTTTTTCTAATTTGGTGTGAGCTAAAGGGCAATAAGCATCATCACATTTTTTCATACGTGGACAATCTACAGGCAAATAAAAATATTCATTTGTTTCTCTTCTATCAAATTTATTAATTTCATATGGATATTTTTTTAATTTGTTAAAAGATTTTGTTACTGGAACACCTAAACTCATTTTCTTATGCATCAATTATTAAAAAGAAGAAGAAAAAATAAAATGAAATCGAATGATTCAATAAAAAATAAATAATAAAGGATTATTATGTTAAATATAAAAAAAAAAAAATTATTAGTACAACAAAATACAAAAAAAAAAAAAAAAAAAATAAATAAAAATAAAAAATAAGAAATAAAAAAAGTAAGTTTTTATTTAAATTATCAAAGACGAATAGTTTATTCTTATCTAATATTTCCTTATTTTAGTAATAATAACACAAATATATATCTTCTTTCAATAACCACTATATTTCTTTTATTCTTAATTGTTATTTTTTCCTGATTTTAAATAATATATTTACTTTTTTTTTTAACATATATATTACATTACTTCAAAATTAGTTTCACTAAAATATACTTTATTCAAACTTACAAATTTTATATATATATAAATATATATATACTTATTTTTTATTTTTCTACTTTTTGATTTTTCATATTAAATGTATACATATATTTTTTGCTTCTATATACAAAAAAAATAAAAACACCATCAGATTTACAGAAAATGTATGCATATATATATATATATATATAATATTTTTTCTAATAGACGCTCATATAAGTAAAAGAAAAAAATAATTATATAATACAATAAAAAAAAAAAAAAAAAAAAAAAAAAAAAAGAAAATTCTTTGAAAAACAGTTCATAAAATGGATAAGTGTGAGAATGATTATCATATATATGTAATTCAATATTTAATATATATTATAATTTATTTTATTTTCCACTATTTTTGACACAAATCCAAAATATTTATTCCCATAATTATGTATTCTTTTTTTTTTTTTTCTTTTTTGTTTTGGTAATCAAAAGAAAAAAAAAAAATAAAAATAATATATTATTAATACATAGATATTAATATTCATTTATTTATTTTTTCATTTCTTTCAACAAATGTTAAAAAAAAAATTAAAAAAAAAAATAATAATAATTACGAATAATAAAAATTTCATTTTATTTTAATGTGTATTTTCTAGATTAAATGAAAATATATATTTTATTTACATATTCACAATTTTTTAACGAATGAAACTATTTATATACATATATATATATATATATAATGTAAATTACAATTTTTTTTTTTTATCTACAAAAGCATAAAATAAAAATATAATAAAGATGATTGATAAAAATAAAATGGATATAAGTAATTAATAAAAAGGAAACTGTATAAAATTATATAATAAACGCGTTATGTCTTTTATTCTGATTTATATAAATACAAGAAAAAAAAAAAAAAAAAATTCATTTTTAAAACACAATAACTTAAACAAAATAAGACATATGTTTATACTTTAAGAAAAAAAAAAAAAAAAAAAACTAAAATATATATGCATACTATAAAAAAAAAAATAAATATTTATATATTTATTTATATATGTATATATATTTAAACATAACATATATTTTCTCTAACTTTTATTTTACACATTTAACTCCATAAAATCCTTATATTCTTTTTTTTATATTATTCTTTTATCTATTTATTTATTTTTTTCTTTTTTTTTTGTAAAAACTTTTATTTTTTTTTTTCTCTCTTCCTTTTCAATAATAATGTAACAATCATAAATTTTATCTACAATAAAATTAAATGTATCTCTATTTTTTCTTTCACTAATATATAATCAAAAATGTATTTACAAAAGTAAAAAATTAATATTTTTTTAATATTACGTAACTTTTTATATTTTTTTTAACACAATGAAAAGGATACAAAAATATGTGGAAAAAAAAAAAAAAAAAAAAAAAAAAGATTAAAATATAAAGCTATTTAAACTAAAAATGCAGTTATCATAATTAACAAATATCATCACAACAATTAAAATCAAACATTATGAACTCTTATGCATTTTTTATATAAACAATAAAATGAATAATAAAATTTTTATACTCATAGAATAATAATACTTACAAGAAAAAAAAATTGCAATAAATCAAAAAATTTTAATAAAAACACAAAATCAATGAAAATATCTTTCATATTCATGCAAAAAAAAAAAAAAAAAAAAAAAAAAAAAAATTTTGTAATTTCTTTTTTTTATATAATTAAAAAAAGAAAAAATATGTATATAATTCAAATAGTAAATATGCTTTCAAATATATATATTTTTAAAATTTTGATTACATCTAATAAATTTTTTTTGAAAGTGTAATAAAATACAAATAACATTTAAATATAAAATTTTAATAGAAATGCAATATCTACTTTCTTCATTATAACACAAGTATTCTTAAAGTTTTACAAATAATTCTACAAAAAAATAAATATCTCATAAGCAAACAATAAGTATAATTAATAGAAATTTTTAAAATTAAAAAATGTAAATGAGAACCTTATGTTTTAATAAATGACTTAATAAATAAAAAAAAAAATTTTAAATTTAAATAAAAAGTTTAGTTTTAAAATATAACAATGTGCATTAAGCTATAAAAAGATATAGAAAATTTTAAAGAGCACGAATATTTTTACTTTATGGAAAAAAAAAAAATAAAATAAAATAAAAATAAAGTGACAGCTTAAAAAATGTCCATAAATGTATTAACAACAAAAATAATTCTTTCAGTGGCAAATAAAAAAATATATATTTTTTGCAATTTTTATTAAAAAAAAAAAAAAAAAAAATAATTTCTGGTGTTCATACACTAGTTAGATTTCATTTCGATCATATGTGAAATAAAATAAAAAGCATAATATTTTTGGTGTGTTTTAAACTTTAATAATATTAAATAAAAAAATGTGCATATATATATATATATATATATATATAAATATTCATATATGTAGAAAAATTCATCGTTTATCATTATTCTATACTCTTTATAAAAGAAAAAATATTTCAAATTATGTAAAATATAAATAATTTTTATAAAATTAAAAGCGAATATTTGATATTCATAACAAGTTATAAAGCATTTAAATATTTTTAATACAAAATAAAAAAGCTTAAGACAAAAATTTTATAAGATGTATATATCAAAGATAAGAAAAAAGACAACACATAAAACATTTAACTTCCATTGAAAAAATTTTGTTTTTTTTTAATTATATATAAGAAAAATACATTATATGAAAAAATTAAATTTATAATGATATATAAAAGTGCACATAAGTAATATTGCTTTAGGTATTATTACGACCTTTGTAAATTTTATAAGTTTTTAAGGTAAAAAATTATTTGTTTATATGAAATGTAATTTTTANATACTATTTTAGTATTATTATTTTCCGTTATTTATAGATTAAGTATTAATTTAATAATATATATAGTAACCTGGTTGATCTTGCCAGTAGTCATATG